ACATGACCCATTATACCCGATGGCACATTACAAATTCCAACAATGACATTCTGAAAATTACAATCCTAAATTGACCCTTAAGTTTTGGACAAACCTGTCCAGTTTTTCAGAAATAGAGGGAAAAGATACCTGTCCAGTGTTGTTGAAGGCATGTTATCTTTTTTGACCAGCTACCAATCCTTTGATTCAGTGGCCATCAATATGTTCCTTATCTGCCTTCTCTTGGCCATTTTGAACCCCATTGTCTCAGCCCTCCATCATGAACTAAAAGTCTAAAACCTTTGCATGCCATTGTATGAAAAAGCTATATGCCTCATCACTCGTTGCTCAAGATAACCCCAGAAACCCTCTCAAGGTAGTAAGAGATTCATTGGCATTAACAATAAAATTCTCCTGGGAGGCTTTTCCCACTTTCAAGTCTTTTTGCAACATGATTCCACCTTCCTTAGCTATTGTTCCTGCTGAATCTTCCAATTTCAGGGCTGTGTTTGCTTTTTGAAAACACTCTGATTTTTCTCCTTGAAAATAGTTATAAAATTCTTAGGATTTATTTTTAAAAAACATTTTAGTTTTTCAGAATTTGCATTTAGTAAAGAAAAGCAAAGATTGTTTCTCACGCAAATTAGTGAAAGTCCACTTGGTATCATTGTTTTCTTATTTTTATTTTCGAAAACCTTGGGAAACAGTTGTTGCTTGCAAATAGTAAATACCAGATTGTGTAATTCAATTAAACAATCTAGTGGCTAGGTGAAAACTTTATTATTTGATATTAATGGCGTTTATCTCCTTGTATCATTCATATATTTCTTGTGACATCCCTTAATTCGGGTGATCTATTAAAATTTTGTTTGAATAGTTTTTAATTTTTTAAACATTAGACTGTTATATATATATGTATATACTAATCATGTGAGATCACCTTGGGGTTGAGCTACACAAAGGAAGCTAGCCTTCTCCCATCCCATAAACCCCAACCTCCCCTTCCCAAGATTCAAACCTGAGACCTTTAAGAAGTTTCAAATCCTAACCTTTGGGATGTCTCTTTGGGGACCTATCACAGCAACTTTTCAAATCACATTTAATCTGATTTAGTTTATTAAGCTGTAAGTAAAATGTGAGAGCCTATTGGGCTTTAGCTACACAAAAGAGGTAGCTCTCTTCCATCACATACACCCCATTCTCCCAGTCCCAAGATCCTGACACCTCTAAGAAGTTTTAGGTTTAACTGTTAGGATGTTTGGGGACATAACACATTATCCTATTTTATATCACATCTAATCTGGTTCTAGTTGTGTTATTAAGTTGTAAGTAAAATAAATTTCATCACTAAAAATCTAAGCTTTGATAGGTAATTTTTTTTGAAGAGGTATTAGTGGACTAAATATTTGGTACAGGATTAATTCTAGCTAATAAAATCAATAATCTTATTTGAATCTATTTGTGAATAAAAATTAGTAGATGGAAATTTAGAGGTGTCCATGGATCGGGTTAGGCCTACCAGACCTCCATTTTTAAAGTCCAGCTTGATTTACGTACTATTTTATATTGGAATATTAGTATTTGTAAATATATTTTAGAATTAAGATTAAATAGATATACTATTAATCAATAAAATAATCTAGTTGGTCCAAGTGAGGCCTAAGAATCTATTTACACACTTGGCCCTAATGGGTTGAGCCCAATGGCGTAGGAGGGAATGGGACAGATGTGGTTTTTGGGAAAACAACGACGCACATGACTTCAAGTTTTGTGGTTAATGCCTTTTGGATAAAGGGGCTAAGAATATGTTAGTGATTACATTTGATAGTTAATTCTGATGAAAGTTAACTTCTTTGCACTTGGTGAAAGCATCATTGCCTTTGAGAAACGTTTTCATGGTCCAACATTTTGTCTAGAAACAAAAATGACTTTTTTCTATTTTATGTTTTCATGTATTTTTAAGCATCCAACTTAAAACTAGTTAAAACAGTTGGAGTTTTCAGTATTCACCTATGATTCCTAAAATTTTAATCAGTTTGGGATTTATTTTTATCAGTTGACACTCCATTTTTGTATAGTGATAATTTGCCATCACGTAACATGCATTTCATGCGTAGGGATACCAAGTCTACTATGTGGCTTGGACTTCACAAGTAGACATAAAAGACCAATCATGTAAGGGCTAGAAAATGGGCTAGAACCTACCTTGAGACTATGTGGAGCATCTAACCTTCAACTCATTGGTAAAATACTGTGGTACAACTGGTTTTAGTCATTGTGGGATTGATATGTTTATCAGCCCTTAACAGTCCCCTCACATGTAGGAATAATAGATTTATCATGTGACATATAATTTGTGTAAGGATAATGGGCTTATTATGTGATTTGAACATTACATGTAAGCATAACAAATCTATCATGGAAGGGCCAATGAACAGGGGTAGAGCCTGCTTTGATATGATGTTAAGCATCCTACATAAAACTAATTGAAATAATTGGCACTTGGTGGAGAGGCCTAACTTAATATAAGGCCACATCAAACTCTAAAGTTATCCAAAGTGGGATAACACCACTTAACATGTCTCCCAAAGTGGCTTGAGCCTGGGCAGTTGTCGTGGTTCGTAAATTTTTTATATTTCAATTTAAAAACCTTTTATTTTTCCTTTTAATATACATAATTTCAGATTAATTCTAAAAGGAGCATATCATACAACTATAAATCTTGGTGTTACTTATATTTAAAATGAGTTTGGAAAGTTGCGTTCTAAATATTATTTTAACGTTTGATGCTTTTCAAATTATATAATTTATTATCAAGAAAAATAGTTCTAGCATCATTATTAGAAATTGAAGAAATAAATAAAATAAGAAAAAATAAAATAACAGGTGATTGGTAATTTGGTAAAAAATGTTGACTAGTTTGAGGGGATAAGATAAAATAAAAGATGAGAAATAATAATTAAATAATAATAACTTGATTAACAAAATAAAGTATAAATTAAGAAACATATTAATCAATGATATCATTATGGAATAAGATAAAAATGTTTAAGCAATGTTGATTAAATGATTATGATATAAATGTTGTGAATGATTTTAAAACCTTTTTCTTTTTTGAGGATAAAATTGTTGAGGAGAGGAGATTTGAACTTGACTTTTTGACTAAGGATTTCAAAACCTATTTTTGTTCTTTGTCCTCTAGCAAAAGTGATGATAACATAGAAAAAAAAACTATGTTTCTCTGCTAAAAAAAATTATAGTAGCTTAATAATGTGAAAAAATAAAGTTATTAGCTAGATACAAATGTTTTGATCAATTTTATATTTTAAAAATTAAAAAATTACAGTTCTTGCTACATGATGTAGGGATTTGCAACTAAAATTAAGCGTTTTTATGAAAATAATGTTGGGAGAGATATTACGGATTGTCATTGATTGCAATTGATTTATAATATATTAATTTTAATTAATGATTGTTCCTTAATGTATGTATTATTATTTTAATCCTTAAAAAAAGTTTTAAGGGAAGTCAATAGTTTGCAATAATTACATTTATCTTTATTATCATCTAATTGAGGACTAATTTTTTTAACAAAAGCAATTCAAAACTACTATTACTTTTTGTAATATATATATATATATATATGTGTGTTTTTATTAAAAACAAAATAAATGACCGAAGGCAAAGTGCTGGCACCACTCTAGTTTTGATAATACTCATTCATGTTCACCCATTTAGTGAAATGGGTTGTAAATTGATCACCCAGTTTAACCTATATTTTTGGGTTTTGTTGGATTAAAATAGACTGATTAACTGGTAGAAAGAGATTATATAATATAATATTTTGTTCAACATCTTGGGTGGATTAGAGCAGTTACTTCATTCCCTTTCCCTGCGTAAGGACTTGACACAGTTTCCTGAATGTAGCCTCCCTAATGAGGTAGGTGCAGGCTAGATCCTCATTTTGGTAGAGAATATTACAATTCCTATCAATTATGTTTCCTTTTTTATGCTGAGTTCATATCCTTTGTTCTGAAGATTGCCCATGATAGTGAACCTGGCTTTGGGTGTCAATGCTATAACTGCTTGTACTGTTTGGTTGCTGATGTGACTAGTTGTCTAAAAGCCTTGAAGATGGATGGAAAGATATTACTGTGAGTTGTGAATAAAATACTTATGTTGCAGTTTAATTTCACCAAAGGTTGTCTAACAAACGTTTGCACTTCGGTACCATCAGATTAAAGCTGCTCAAACCATTTGGCTGCTTTTAATTGTGGTAGCCTCTGCATCTGCTTTTGGCTGCTATTGCCTTGTGAATTTGAATCACACGCTCAGCAGCATGTAACGGTTGCAGTAAAATGGCATAATAGTCCATCATTGCAATAGGGGCCATGACAGCCAAATTCTGTCATGGATGTTACTCTATCTCCTTTATCAGTTTGAAGAGAAAATTTTTCCAGAAAACAGCCTGATACCAACGGCCAAATAACCTTGAATCAACACTTTTTTGACAAATTACTGTAAACAACCATTTTGAGCATCAACCAAGAGAAGAACAGAACAATTTTTAAGTAAAGAAACACTCTAATGAGTGGGCCTTTTGTTTTTCCCAAATTAATATGTTATTTATGTCTGATGAGGCTTGACTGTTCAGAGTGATGGGATGACTGATATTGAGAAACCAAAGGTAAGAATGGGGAGAAATGATGGTCAGAGATGCCATGCAGATTCAGGCTGGCTGGCTGGCCTGGGTTTTGGTTTTGTGATGGTGACTGGATTGTTTGAGAAAGGGAAAGTGCAAAGAGAGAAGAGATGCATGGAGTGGGGTTCTTTGGTGGGGAGGGTGGGTTCTGGTTCAGGCTGGTCTTTTGTCTAGCTCTAAGAAGGATGGTATTTTAAACTCAGCTTATATACTTGTTGACTTTCAATCTACTTCTTTTTATACATGCTCCATGTCTGAGATTAATATTTTTGGTCTTCAAGTTGATTTATTTTCCATTTCCTATTGCATTTTCTTGTAGGTTGATGTTGAGGAAGTGAGGTACATTGCGAAAGAGTTGTGGCATGGGAGAAGTGCAAGAGAGCTGTCTGCAAAAGATGTGGGGCGTGGAATGTGGCGATCTGTTAATGAGTTGATGCTTGTGAGGTATGGTTTGCTTCATCCTGTATACCTTAGAGCATCTGGCATTGATGAATTTTATTTGGTATAACTTGATAATATTAGTATGCTTTTTCTGATAATTGGTGATATTAATTAAGTGTTTTTTTATATGTGGAAAACCTTTAATTCAGTTGATCTAAACACTATTTGAGAATCAGGTAAAAAGATTCCAACTATAGAATGGACAATGATCTTAGTACTTTATACTATTAAAGTCTTGATTGTTGTATGAATTGTGAAGTGTTGTTCAAGGAAAATGCTCTAATGGTTAAAGATTTTGTACTTTTGCCGGGATAAAACTTTGTTGCAGAGTCTTTCATTGGGTTGATGTGAGATAGTCAATTTGATTGTGATTGCACAAACACACATGCATATCATACTTTTTGACTATTTTCGAAGCTTTGAATTTCGAGAAGCTGAAATAGTGTATTGTGTACTTGATGTTGCTAAGAATCATCCTCCATACCTCGCAAACTTGTAGAAATTGGGACAAGAAGATACAACAAATAAAGCTTGTCCCTAATACATAAGACCAACTGCTTGAATCATATTATATTATTATACTTATATTGAGCATCATACCAAAACTTGAATCATATTATATGATTATACTTATATTGAGGATCATACCTTTAGTAAGATCAATGAATGTAAGGTAGTTTTTCCATTATTTCCTTCCATGTTTTCTTTGGTCTTCCCCTCCCCTTTTTAATGCAAGTAAATCATTTGAGGTTTTCATCTTGTATGTCCAAACCACCATCGATATGTTTAATACACTGACCCCTTTAAGTTTGTCATAATTCCATGTAGCTGCAGGTCCATTAGTATTCAAAATAGATAATTTGCCTTAAAAGAATATCCTTCTTTGGACACATAAGTTTTAGTCAACCATTAATGTTTCTCTTAGTTTGATGATGTGGCAATATTTCTCGAGCAATTTTACCCTTTATTAATTTTTCATTTAAAATATTTCTCCTATTTAAAAAAAAAAATTCTCTCTACCTTTTTTTCTTGTCGGCTGGCCACCTCACGTAGAAGGGGAGCCCAGGGAAGTGTCGGCTCCCTTGAGGTCCACGCTTCCTCTCCCTTAGCTAGCCATCCAAAGGGGAGCACTGCCTCAAATTGTGCTCCCCTGAGGTCGGTGCTCCCTTAAGGGAGTGCGATTTGGGGGTCGTGCTGCCCTGAGGTTGGTGCTTCCTTAAGGGAGCATGCTCCCCCACTGGTTGGCAGGCGCTCCTGTGTTCCTCCTAGGGAGATCTGGCTGCGAGGTGGCTGGCTGGCGTAAGGGAGCACCGCCAGCTGGTCTGAGAGAAAGGAAAATATTGAAAAAGAGGGAGAAAGAAGAAGGATATTTTAGACATTTCACGTTTACCCAATTCTGTTTACATGTTTGGGGTGGACTGTTCATTTTGAATACTAATAGACCAGTACGGAATTATGACTAAAATTTAGGAGGGTCAAGGAATTTTACCCTTTTCTTTATTATTTTCCTTGGTGCCATTTCCACTTTTTTTCTGGATGCACTCGTATCTAACATCATTTTGCCTTTTAGCATCCTTATCTTTTAAATATTATTATATGTAGTTGCCCAGCACTGAACGCTGTAAAGTTTTTTGTAGTAGGGCCACGTCGTGGGATTTTGGTTGAAAGTATTTAAAAGTTTATTGAGTAAAATTTTAGAGCCTCCAAAGCTATTAGGCCAAATTAATTTCTATTGAATCCAATACAATTTAATATGTGGATAAAGTAAAAGAATTTTTTAACAACTGGATAAAATAAAATTAAACTAAAAAATTGTGATAAAAGAATATTTAATAAATAAATTTTATAACATTTTAATTCATATTGTGTCATTTTTCCTTTTAGACATTTAGCTTTTATGGTACCATCCTTATCTTTTATAGTATCATTGTTCCTTTTAGCAAATAAATAAATTCATATTGTACCATCCTTAAATAAATAAATTTTTGTTTTAGACATTTTTATTCATATTGTACCATCCTTATCTTTTATAATGTTATTATTCCTTTCAGCATCCTTATCTTCCACTTCGGTCATCATATTAGCTTCTTATCAAGTTTTTTGTTTCTAACGTGAGCCTAAAGCTAGGAATGATCAAACTGTTCTTAAAATTTGTCTCTCTTCTCGTCTGTCTCTTTCCGATAAATGGCACTACAATTGTTGATGTTCGCATATCCATCGGTTTTACAATGTCTTAACCATGTCTTAATTTCTTTTATATTATTTTAGCATGTCCTGTGCTATTAGAAGCATATTTGAGTGTGCCAAATGTTACTCTATGTTGAACACGGATATGATGTCTGTGCATGAGGGATTTTGACATATCTGTGGTTCATAGCCTCTACTTTCCTAATGGTTTCATATCAAGTTGGATCAGGGCCAAACGTTCTTTGCTTTGTTAGCTTGTCTTTGTTCTAGAAAAAAATTTTAGTGAAGTAAACATTTTTGGGTCATTTTTTTTTCTGAGGCAAGCTGAGCTACCTTTGTGCCTCTGTTTGCCATCAGCTGCACAGAAAGAAAAAAAAAAAAGAATAGAGATCCAACTTTCCTCCTGAAGACAAAAACAACCCTTCTGCTATATATATACATATATATACATATATACACCGGAGAAAGAGTAATGTTTGAGAGTAATGTTCAATTTTGAAAATATAATTTTATTTGAAAGTAGAATTTTGAAGATACAATTTGAATTTTGGATACAAGAGATTTTTCAGGAGTGATATTCTCTCGGAATTAAATCTTATCCGGAAAAAAATCCTATCTCTTCTAAGTTCTTGAAGGGTCTTATATAGACAATCTTTTTTTTCTTGGAAATCCAGAATTTCAGCTTCATTTGAATTTCATTTTGATTTGTCGATGCAGCGGACACTGTTTTGGTGCAACTTTTAATACTGTCCGACAGTTTTTATTGCTTTTCTTCTTTTGGCAGCATTGCTTTCGACTGCTATAGTTTTCTTTGTTTCTTCTTTTGACAGCATTGCTTTCGGCTGTTACTGCTTTTCAGACGCCTTTGCTTTTGACTTGTCAATAGGCGTGTTGTTTTTGTTGCTATTTCTTCAATCCCTTTGTCTTCTGTCTTGTGTCTGTCGGCATAATTATTGCTAGTACTATTTTTGTTTTCTTCCTCTTGGAGGGATGTAGTCCTCATCCTGAGATAGTTCTGCTGTTGCTCTAGAGAAAGCTGTTTCCTCTTCTTCTTTAGAATCAAGAGAACTTAGCATTTTTGTCATTATCTTCTTGTATTTAGATTTTGATTTGGCCTGAGCTAGTCTAGCACTAGCATTGGATTTGGAACATCCAACATGAGATCTTCATCAAATATAGAAACAGACTTTGAAACAGCCAGAGCCTTTGTATCCTCAATTCCTACAATCAAGACGAACCTGCAATCCATAAATAACATATTCATCAATGACAAATAATCCACCTCCAAACCAAGAAAATGATTCAGAAATATTTATGTTAGAAAAACATATTGAAATCGATAAAGAATGATGCAGGAAACAATTTTATTCAGATAAAAACAGGCAAAAGCGAAAAAATTATTTTAAAAAGTATGACTAACAGAAAGATGAAATATTACAAAATTATTATAAATTTATGAAAAAACATCAAATAATGATAGAATTCTTTCAATGGTTTGAAGAATATGAAGAACCGCAAATAAATGCTTTAAAAACTTCAAAGAAATGGAAGACGAATAAAGGTGAAATTGAATCAAATCATCCTCTATTAACAGAAATACAATACTCTCATAAAAACATAGGAATAAGGGCAACTCCTTTGAGAATGAGATCATCTGACTTAGGAGAACCTATTACCTCAAAAGATATTAAAATGATAATAGAACAAAATAATTTTACAAATTTAAATCTACACTCCATTTCTCAACAATTAGATACAATAGAAACAAAAATTCAAAACCCAACCCACATTCAAGAAGCATCTACTTCTTTAGATCAAATAAAAGATAGAAAACCCACGTTCATACCTTTTGAAATACTCAACAAATACCAACAAACAAAAAATTAATTTTTACATGAGATAGAAAATAGGCTTGAAACCTTAGAAAGTCAATACTCAGGAATAATAGTGGAAGAAACTCCCTAGAGACACTCAAATTCTCTCATCAATACAATAAAAGATGAGACAGAATCCTCCACAGAAAGCATAGAAAGCCAAAAAATCAATAAAATGGTTTGGAAAGAACCTCAAAAAATATATTACCCAAAAATAACTGCTCCAGACATAAATATGGAAGAAAAATCATTATTTCAGAATAAATATAATGCAAACACTATATACGAATGGAATATAGATGGAATGTCAGAATATAACATTCTCAATATACTTCAACAAATGACAATGGTTTCGAATGTATACAAAACTCAAACCAAACTGATCAAGTTACAGAGCATGCAATAGCATATATGTTAGTTGTTGGTTTCACAGGACAATTAAAAGGATGGTGGGATAATTATCTCTCCACAAATCAACAAGAAATCTTAAAAGTTGTTAAAAAAGATAATGATGGAAACATAATAACAGACAGTCAAGGAGGAGAAATCCAAAATGCTGTAGCAACATTAATATTTTCAATATCAAAACATTTTATAGAAGACCCTTCACACCTTAGGGATAGGAATTCAGAATTATTATCAATTTAAAATGTAAAAAATTAACAGATTTCAAATGGTACAAAGATATGTTTATGACAAAGATAATGCAAAGAATAGATAATAACCAACTATTCTGGAAATAAAAATTCTTAGTTGATCTTCCAACATTGTTAGGAGAAAAAGTTAGGAATCAAATCCGAGAAAATTACAAGGGAATAATTCTTTATGAAAATTTAACATATGGTGAATTAACAAGTTTCATTCAAAAGGAAGGACTAAAAATATGTTAAGATTTGAAATTACAAAAACAATTAAAACGAGAAAGAAAACTTTGTGCAAGAG